TATAACAGTCGAGGGACAAGTGCATACAAAGACAAATCATTGGACAGGTAATTCTACAAAATACAAGCTTGTAAATGTTTGAGTCAATCATTCATACAAGTACAAACTAAAATAGTAATAGGATGTGTGCTAAAAATACAAATAACAATGGTAAAAATTATAATAGATACAAAAAACAATAAAGCGCATTTGCCTGAGTATTATCAGCCATAATTCCATATAAAAATTAGAGCTGCACGATTAATCGCATGCGATATTTAACGCGCATCTTGTCAGAAAGTAAAAAGCCTTTTTCCAAAAGGTACATCTGGAAAAGGGGGGGTCGTCTTATAATCAGGGTCGTCTTATATTCGGGCCAATACGGTATTTGTCAGGAATGCATTACGAAACGTCATAAAGATCTTTTATTTATAAAGCATTTCATTCACTGGAGGCATGTCTCATCTATCATAATTTAGATTATATTTTGCAAATGAAATAATCAGACTAATTTAATCCAAGAGTTAAACTCTCCTTTGGCGGCATCAAAACTGCACTGCATCTGAACGCTGTTCAACTCAAAGCACGAGTGACTGGAGTGGGGCAGAAAGAGACAGGCCCGTCTCCACCTCTTCCCTCCAGCTAAACACTCTTTCTGGGGAATGCTGGGAAGGAATGCCAGCTATGTGAGCGGCGGGATAAACGAGCGACCCAAGGGAACGACTCCAGCGAAACGCAGAGCGGTCAGAGGAATTCAGACCAACAACTGGCCACTTGTTGCCCACTTGAGCCGGAAAGCAGGGCGCTTTTGCTCCACGACTGTTTAGTGCGAGGAGTGAGCCTAATGTAGGTCAATGGAGCGCATTAATTACCCATGATGCAACATGCACGCTGGCGAGTGTTCATGCAGATACGCCGTGTTCACTTTTACACGCTCACGGATTAATGCTAATCACCACCTGCTTTTGATTGTTTCAATGGTGACTAATTAATTCAAACTTGATGAGGCACAGGTTTCAACCCTCATAATGCAATCAGGTCCATTCTGACCCGGAATGCATGCATAAAAATTCCTAAAAAATTGTTTTTGGTGAAAGAGCGAAATTTTGCAAATGCTTTAAGATCCTCAGAATCCACATTACATATTTTATTAGATTTTTTTTTTTAAATTTTTTAAAGATATACAACCATTTAAATAAAAAAAAATGTCATGCATTTCGCATCTGGGTCATTTTTGAAATTTTTATTTAATATTAATGAGTAATATTAATGTTGTTTTGCTAGAAATAAATATGTCCGTTTCATAATTTTGGACTGTTTTTGATCAGTCATGAGTTATAAATTCAAAGTAATTTAATAAAATTCCATTCATTCTAATGGGGTTAATAATACTGGTAATTCTCAGATTATATGTTCTTATACATTTCATACAAATACAATTTCTCATAAATATTGAAAAAATATTTTTCTTTCCATCATAGTTTTTTTTGGTGTGGTTCACATGCAATTTGAAATTTCTAAGAATTTCTCAATTTTTTAATTATTAATAAAGGGGTAAATGCAGTACCAACATGCTAACACTTATACTTTGACATTTTTCACATTCACTCATTAATGAGAAGTTGCTGATAAGAAACAAAATGGTTTTAGCTAAAAAAAAAAAAAAATAATAATAATTTTGGACTGGTTTTGAGCAACCGTGAGTTATAAATTCTAAGGAACTTAATTAAATTCCATTCATTCTAATGGGGTTAATACTGGAAATTCTCAAATTACATAATTCTTAAATTACAATTCTTATAAACTTCATAGAACAATATATTAAAATTAAATTTCTCATCGATATTGGATATATATATATATATTTTTTTTTTTTTCTTTCTCCAGTGTGGTTTATGCAAAATTTGAAATTTCAAGTGCAAAACAAAATTACAATAATTTATAAATTCCTTCACATTTACTCATTAATTAGAGGTTGCTGATCAGATACAATATGGTTTTATTTTAAAAATATTAAGTAAATATTAAGATTCTTCGCGGAATGTGAAAACATACAGATTTTGCATGCATTATGAGGGTTTAAACATGACAGCTGTCATTACACGGGTGAAGCTGATTATGTAACGCTTTCACATGCACGTCATCGCAAATCAAACACAAGCAAGCCCTCGTTTCTATCGCAGGAGAGTAAACTACAGATAAAGTGCATTGTGACGGCTGATAAACCAGCTCTGGAGCGGTGCGGTTTCCACACAGGCCTGCGATTCTGGACGAGAGCCCAGGTCTATTTTCTTCCCCGGCAGAGCTGATAAAAGCTGAATGCACAGGCGTTAGGCCTGCGCTCAAACACGAGGAGAACACTTCAAACCGGCCACAGGTGTCACAGCACCGCGTGTTCAAGGACAGACGCAGACGGGTTACGAAACACAGGCCAAACGGCATGCATGTGCGCAAACTTGTTCAAAACTACACGAGCAATCATTTCAATCACTGTTATATTAGCAGTAAAAACATGTGACAGCAGAACAAGAGCAGAAAACCCTCAACAAAAAGGTTAAGTACTACATCGTGAGTATTATTAGAAAGCAATAAGGCACAATATAAAACTGAAACTAAACCATTGAAAAAAAAATTAAGATATTGTTAACTGATTTGTGTTTTTAATTTTCAAATAGTTCCAAAGGGAAAGTTTCAATTTTAATTTAGTTTAACTTTGCATACTAAAATAAGTAAAACTAAAATTAAAGCCATAAGAAAAAAATTTTCGTTCACCAAAATAAACGTTAACTAAAATAACATACTTCAGCTAGCAATGTTACATTCACTCATTAATAGGGATGTAACGATTCGATTCACGCTTTTTTTTTTTTTTTTAAAATGAGATTTAAGACAAATTATAAATTAAATGTGTCCTTTTATT